CACCCATTGCTTCTTGTCCTACCCTCAGGTGCTTTGGAGAATAGCTTGACTCCCTCTTCTTTGTGGCAGTCCCTGAGATATCAGAACATTGCTATCATGTCACCCATTAAACTAGACATACCTAATTCCAGCAACCGTTCTGTATATGTTTTAGCCTCCAATCCCCTAATCATCTTTGTTGCTCTTCTCTGCACTCTTTCTAGAGTCTCAACATCTTTTTACATCATAAGTAGTAATGGGAGCTCACCCCATAACATGGCACTCGGGTCTCGAACCCAGTCTGACAAGCTCAGCATCTTTAATCACTGAGCCATCATGTTCCCCCCTGATGACTGAGAACTTCTCATGAGAATGGAAATCCATTCAAAAGAATTATCTCTTCTCTCTTCTCTCCTTTTCTTCATGGTGAGAATTCTGACTCCTTTATCCATCAAATGACTCACTGAACCAGTTCAACAAAGATATACAGTAGTTAGGCATTTCTGGTTGAAAATATCCATGGAAACTCTCTATTTGTTATAGAGTAGTGGTCCTTCCTGGAATCTGGGCACTGTGGAGTTGGTTCTTCACCTCCTCTTGTCTTCCCCCCAGAAAAACAAAATCAAGTACAAGTCAATATGGAACCAAGAAGAAATGGACTTCTTAGGAATCAGCTTGTAACTAACCTTTGGAAGCAATCAGCAGAAATCTTGGTATATATTAAGCGTGGAAGACACTCAGAATTATGACTTGGCTGCAGGAACTGCAATGTGGTTGGTTTAGTTTCAGCTTAACTGAGCATGACTCTTAGCCACTGCAGAGCACAAACCACAATTTATGGCCAAGAGTGCCATGTAAGCATAGTCAATTGTAGCTCAGTTAGTCAGCTGTGATTGTACAAATTATGGCTTGGCACAAAGTGTGAATCCAGCCACTGTAAAAAGGACTGCAAATACTCTTACACACTTACCTTGTATGTCTGGGTTGCGAACATGATAGGGTTTATCCTGCACCTCCAGTGTCCATTCTCCAGCTGCCCTTTCACCCCAGCAATGGACAGTCATGAATTCCCAGTGTTTGAAGCCTTCGTTAGACTCATCATGCTGTCTGTTAACGAGATACCAGAATCAAGAGTTCAGACTCAAACTATTGACCAAACTGCAGAATTGGGAGGGGGATTATTTGCTTTGGGAGGGGGGTTATTTGCTTTGGGAGGGGGGTTATTTGCTTAGAGCAGCCAAGTCAATTGTGTTGTTGTAGGTGGAGTCAGAATTTCAAGGAAATGGGGCTTGCTTCATGGTTTAGGAAGAAGGTTGGAGTTTACTTTGCGCTTTAAAAGAAAGGCTATGCACTTTACTATTCCCACCGGCCCTGAAAACAGCAGGAACTATGTCCCCATAGTTGTTAATAAAATTGTTTATTGTTAATAAAATTCATCAGAGATAATTTCCAGGGGAAGAACGAAGAGAAGGAAAGGAAAGGAAAGGAAAGGAGGAGAACAGAAAGGAAGGGAGGGGAAGGATGAGAAGGGAAAGGAAGGACAGGAAAGAAAGTAAAGGGAAAGAAAGGAAAGGGAAAGAAGGGAAGGGAAGGGAAGGAAGAAAAGATGAAGGGAAGGGAAGGGAAGGGAAAGAAAGGAAAGGGAAACAAGGGAAGNTAGATCGATCCACCTATCTGATTGGATAGCTGCAATCTAGATCTAGACCTAGTTAGTCCTAGTCTGAGGTCAACAGATCTCTCAATATTGCAAAGGCGACTCTGCTTAGTCTCCAGTGGGGTTGTTTGTAAAACCAAAGCAGAGCCTTGAAGCATCCTAGAAAGTAAGTTTCATCTTATGGAAATCTTATAATCTGCCTTCTTGAAGTTCAGCATACCTTGTTTTGGTCATCACCTAAGCAAGGTAATCCTTTCCATACTCCACTTACACCTGCATTGCTTCATTGTAAAGATCAATCCTGCAATTATAGGCCAGGGAGGCGATGACATCACTGGAGCAGCATTATGGTTTATTAAATACCATATTTTGCTTTCAGAAAACTAATTCTCATGTTGTTCTGTTGGCCAAGGAACTTGGCACACTTGTCATAGAAATCCAGCATGGGAAGGAGTTTTTTTTAAGGAAGGCCAATTTTAGTTTGCATATTCAATGTATACTATCATTGTTTGGATTCACACAGCATGCTAGTCTAGCACAAACATAAGAATATTGCAAAAACTCAGCCAGCATCCTAGCATGTGGGTATCTTAATAAGCACTAGGCTATCTTAATAAGTCACATGTTGCTCTTGGGGGGGGGGAAGGAGACATAGCCTATTATTTGAGCAAAGCCATTGGATTTCACATGTGTGAACCCAGCGTCATTGTTCTGAACTGGAGAGCGCTAAACATTTATTGATGCTAAATTAATTGCAAAACCAGTGAAGGACTCAGGGTGTCTTGCATGGATTTTGCCAACAGTACAATCAGTCAGTAGAGTATAAAAATCTTAATGTCCTGTTAGTGAGAAGAGAGCCAGTTTGGTTTAGTGTTTACAACATCAAGCTAGAAATCAGGAGGTAGTTCTAGTCTCACTTTAGACATGAAACCCGGTGGGTAACTTTGCTCCAATCACTGTTCTGACCTAGGCTTCTGGAGAAAACATAAATCACAATCTTAGTCCCAAAAATCCACTTTTATTGATACAACTGTAAATTATGGTCATTCACAGCCCACAAGGCTTCACAAACAGTCTGTGAAGATTCCAACAGATGTCTGCTGGAGTTGCCACAATCTTTCAGGGGAATTTTGATAAACACCCACCTTATCTCCCTAGGAATGCTGCCAGATACCTAATTGCCAAATGCAGACCAAGGCCAAACTTAGCACAAAGTCAAACATAACTTTTCAAAGCTTGAACGGATCAGATGAACTAATTGCTTCCCGCCAAAGTTCACATCCCATTTGCTCCTCTTGGTGATTGGGAGGGGCCAATCATCTCCAAGCCTTACTCCCAAGTTGACCCTGTTTTCTTAATTGTTCTTGCCTTCTGGCAGTTCTGCGCATGGGCACACTGGGAACAGGCTCCCATTGTTCTTCTGTATCGCTGATGCCAGAGTCCAGAGGCTCCGGAGGCAGCAAATAACTACCAGATGGCCTTGATCCCCTCTCTGCCTCTGACTCAGAGCCCTCATCTGAGCCTTCCACAGAGTCCAGGACTGGCCCGTGTTCCTCCCCAACTTCCTCACTGTCTGAATCTGCTGCCAGCTCTGCTGGCCGCTGGTGAGCCACAACAATCACCAGGAGATGCTGAGCCTTAGTCATGGAAGCCAGCTAGGTGACTTTGGGCCAATCCCTCTCTTGGCCCATCTTAACCTGCAGGGTTGTTGTTGTTGTTGGGAATAAAGGAGGAGGAAAGAGTATTAGGTATATTAACGACTTT